GAAGAAGAAGTGCTGCTGCAGAGTTAGTGCATCAGAGAAAACGAAGAAGAAGAGCTGCTGTGCTGTAGCGTCAAATTTTCGGCATGTCTAGAATAATTCTTACAAGTATAACATGACGTAGCTGGGTGCCGCGGACAGACGCCAAACGGTGCCGCCGGTGTGCCTACACTCATAGAAAATAATGTATTTGAATTTTAAAGACGTGGCGCGACGCGACGCTGTGCTTCTCGTCCGGTGTGCGACCACCTGAAACGCTGTTTTTTTTCACCTCCCGAAAGCGGATGATGTCAGGAAACAGTGGTTGCAATTTATTTTTTAACTCTGTTTCTGAGCATTATAACCCCAATTTGCTATTGTGTGCTGCGCATTTTACCGAGGACGGCTTCCACAACATGAGGGAGTACAGTGCCGGATTCGCCAAAAAGTTTTTGTTGAAAGACGGAGCAAGGGGCTTGACAGTATTGAAACACCGTCTAAGCTGTTCGCCAATCACAATGCACTGGGACAGCTAACCAATCACAACACATTTTGTTTTTCGGAAGGCGGACCTTCATCAAAGCCGGAACTAATCGAGCCGTTTGTGCCAGGCTGGGGAGAAAGGTATTGTAATAATGTAAATTATGTGAAAAATAAGGCTTTTTTCGAACCACCAAGCATGAGAGCATGTTCTAGTACACCCCCAAAACAAAATCAATACTTTGTAAAAGAGCATAATAGGACCCCTTTAATATGGATGGCTAGCATTCACTACTCACGGCACCGTATCGCCGTATGCATTGGCAATAGCAAGTTCCTGTACTTGCTTGCAGCAGCAGCAATAATCTACAACTACAGCAATAACCAACAGCAGCAGCAGCGTAGCAGATCTATTCCGCCAAGACCAAATACATTAACACTGTCATATCCATCACCATGCTAAAATCTTCCGAGAGTTGTCATGATTGAACTAATGTTAAATACAAAATTTTGCAAAGTGTTGGAAAGAAGAATATTCAGTCATTGAATTATATTCTGTCATTGCATATATGCAAAAACAAGCAAGTGAATGCAAAAGCATTGAAATATAAATTTATCCTCCCATTTCATATGTACAGGGGCTGCTGTAAACTTAATGAAAATAAATATTTTCAAGATAATATTTTAACAAGTATTTCTAGTAATTTGTCAGTTATTTAATTTCATTGTCTTAATATCAACATTTTCCACACACAATGCATACAATAAATTATTATAGTAGCCTATATTTCAGGAAGGGAGTCTTATGTTTGGGGGATCCTTAGCATCAAAAAGGAAAAAAAAAAATATATATATATATACATATATACATCTCGCTTAGACAGGTCAAGACAACCACTGGTGCAAAAAAAAAAAAAAAAAGCATGATGCTTCTGACTAAGTGCAGTTTTCTCACCTCTCTTCTCATCTGTCTCTCTTTGTGTCCTTGTCTCTCTTTCTCTGTCTCTCTTTGTTCCCCTGTCTGTCTCTCTCTCTGTCTCTCCTTCTATCTCAGGGCCAGAGAAGGGGAGATGTGTGGCATCTGAATACTTCATCGAGCCAGAAATAGAGATCACTACTGAGAACACAGCCAATATACTGAGTAAGAAAAATGTATGCACTTTATTGTATAATACAAATGGAAAAATCAAGGTGCAAGTAAATATTATATTATATTATTTATTTTCATGCGCTCCTAGCATATTTTAGGTGCTGTGACTGCTGATGTGCTTGAATTTTTTTGATAATTTCTAGTCTTTAGTCTTTTGTTGTGACAGTCATTTTTATATGTACAATTTAAAGATATTCAATATAATATGACACTATAAAAATTACATGTATAATAATTGTACAAAAATATTATTATATTATATTATATTATTATTTAAATGTATAAATATATTACATATAAATATATTACTATTTTTTAGGTGCTGTAACTGATAATTTGCTTACATTTTTTAAGCATTTTAATACAATTATTATTGTACAATTATTTATCAATACTAAAAAAAAAAAAAAAAGAAGTTATAAATAGTTTCAGATGAAGCATGTCACCCTTGACTCAATGATTTTGAGGGACTATTTTTCTGTCTCTGTTAGAAATGGTCAGGACGGCCACCCCGTTTCCTATGGTCTCACTCCTCTTTGTCTTCACGGCCTTTGTCATAAGCAACATCGGCCACATCCGTCCCCAGCGCACCATCCTGGCCTTCGTCTCTGGAATCTTCTTCATCTTATCAGGTGAGGTATATGGAAATATAATGTGTGAAAATCTGCTAAATAAGTTCTTGATTCTCATCATCATGTTTCTAATTTTTGCGGCCCATAGTTGTGTATCTTCTTACATACTCTAGATTAGATGCTCTTTGTTGATATCCAGTTTCAGTGGTGAGCCTGGTAATTCTCCACAACTGCGTCTGAAATCAGGCTGAGAATCCCACTGAGAGGCTTGCATATTTAATGAATGGTGTTCCCGATTTCCATCTATGGTAATGTGTGGGACACAATATCCATTAAATGCTCCTTTTTTCTCACAAACGGTAATTAATAACAGCGGTCTCTCTGATCAAGTCAACAGAGCTCTACCTAACAGCTGTCATTTGCATTCGGCTAACAGAAACAGATTGTCAAGAATGTCAAAGTGTGTTTAGATTTGACTAATTTGCATGCAAAGTATGTCTTAAAACAGATCTGGTGTGCATGAATGTTCTCAAAGAAATCTTGAAGCATTAGACTAAATACATAAAAGATATGTAGGGCTGGATTGATACCAAAATAATAATGCAGTTTAATTGCTAATTTTCTCAAGGTGTACCAGTACAGTACGTTCAGACTGAACCGCGGAGCTGTGAATTTCACAATACTCAGTGTGGCTTGAAGACAGCGATGTGGCAGAACTATATCAGTTGATTCTATCAGTTTCCTGCTGACAGCTATACAAATCAGCCTGCAGGAACAGATTTCCCATGAAGGTTTAGAAAGCTTGTGTTTGAACAGTTCTAGAATGCTGGAACAGGACGGGTTTTAAACAGCACTCTGGAATATTTCATTCTGATTGCAGAATGCTGAATTCAGTCATATAGTTTTATATAATTCTCACTCATCTGTGCAACTGATCATTGTCTCATAGCTGTGTTTCGTGTCTCTTGTATCATGCCACAGTCTCCTCAAATAATAATATCAACTCCATACAGGATACAACAGTGGTTCGCAACATTTTTGACTTCCTATAGGCTATGATATTTCCTTTGTATGTCTGCTGATTATAAGGTTTATAAAGTCAATCAATCAATCAATCAATCAATCAAGTTATAAAGAAGGTATTTAAAGTTTTAAAAAGTTATAAAGAAGGAATTTAGTTATAAAGAAGGCTTTTTTATTAACAAACTAAAAGTGTCAGTGGATTTAAATAATAAAATGTGATTAATTTTGAATGCAGATGTTGTAAGAGTTCAATAATGTTCTTAATTATAAACTTAATGGAAAAAAGAAATATGTCAGTTTTGTTTTTTTTTATATATTTTTATTAATTCAATTTATTTTCAAAAATTTTAAGAAATCATGCAATCCCCTAGAAAGTTTGCTGAGGCCCCCTGGTGGCCCGGCCCCCTAATTTAGAACCACTTAGACATTGAAAAAAATAAAAATAGAAAGAAAGGAATACTTTTATTCAGCAAGAATGCATTAAATTGATCAAAAGTGACAGTAAAGGCATTTATAATGTTACAAAAGAATGATATGTCAAATAAATGCTGTTCTTTTGAACTTTAGTTCACAGTTTCCAAACACTGTTTTCAATATTGATAATAATATTTATTGAGCACAAAATTTCATGTGATCACAATGATCATGTGACACTGAAGACTGGAGTAAGGGCTGCTGAAAATTCAGCTCTCCCATTACAGGAATAAACAACATTTTAAAATATATTAAAATAGAACATATCTATTTTAAATTGTAATAATATTAACAATTTTACACTGTATTACTGCAATATTAAACAATATTTCTGCATTTGTGATCAAATAAATGCTACAGTAGTGTGAAATATATAAATGATCGTTGTCCCAGGTAACTGGTTTCCTACGTCTTTGTTAATTTAATTGATCTCGTATCACTCAATTTTCGCTTTTTTCTTCTCGCATGATACGATAATTTCAGATCAATAATTTTGAGTTTAAATTGCTATATTTACAATACAGCATAGTCTCGCATAACTTATTGCTTAATTGCAGCACTTGATTTGCACTTCTACATGAGACCATTTACACTCCAATCAAAACAATCAACATTTGCTAATTAGAATACAGTAAATCATTGAGTGGCTGTTAAAATCTAATTTGCCTCACCGTCTTCATTAGATGCCAGGAAATGAACAAAGAGGCAAAAGCAAGGAGTCAGCAGCAGTGGGGGAGTCGAGAATCAGCAAAGCCCCTCAATCGTTTGCACAGAGCCAGGTCAACATGTCCCATGCATTGCAGCCGATGCGGCTCTAAAGCACGCACTACTGCAGTTTAATAATAATGGATTCTGTAGTACGACTGCAGATTCCTGTGGCAGCACCGGCAGCTGTCCAGCGCTGTGCCGTGTAGCGCTGCATCAGGTGCTAATGTTACATTCAGCTCAGCATTTTGTACTACAGAATTATTAATAAAGCACAAGACACCACAACAGCGCTGTTGCAAAATGCTGAACACAGACATGCACAACACTGCAAAAAAACAAAAACGCAGTCTGTGATGTTCTAAACTGTAGTATACAGTAGTTTACTATGGTATAGAAGCAAGTAGATCCAGTCTTTAAGTATCCTGCTTGTGCTTGGTTGTTTGGGAATATATGCCCTAGTGTGACACAACAGTTTAATATCCAATGTCTTGCATTTCTAATGCGAAAAGTAAATATGTAAGCTGCAGCACATTCCTTGTCGGTATTCGCAGCATAGACAGCTGGCAGTGACAGACTGCGATAATGTGTTTGATTATGCCAGAGGCTTTCCTTACCGCTGTTTCCCCCTCTCTCTTTTTTTTTCCTGCACTCCACAATTACCACAATGAGCACGCTATAAATGTTAATGTTTCCCGGTATGACAGGTTGCGTGTTGGTGTGCTACTTTATCGTTCCCTCTCCACACCGAGCTTTCAGAAGAAAACAATGTTGACTGTTCAGTAGCGTAATAGGAAATCACTGCGGCATCAACTGTACTTTCATCTAGATGTTTACAAGGCATATTTGTTTCTTTCATTTGTCATTTTCATCGAATGCTTTTAGGCTCCTTTGTGTGCATATAATAGTTTCCCCCTTTACTAATGTGAAAGTGATACCACAAATTATGACTTGTTAAAAAAAAAAAAGTGTGCTATTAATTGATCGATGGAAAGATTTTAGTGTGAAGGATGACCAAAAAAAAACCACACACACACATTAGAAACCGCATACTGTAGCAAAGTCCTGGCTGCTATACACAACACCTTTGCGCAACATTTATACAAGCTCTACTCACATTTTATGAATAAAAATCAATGTACTATTGCATTGCTACTATTTCCCAAAGACTTTTCTCCTAGTAAACCAGTAAGTAACCACCTAGCAATCACATAGTTATCACCCATGCAACCACAGTGCAATGCACAAACTACTATTTATAACACCTTAGCCACAAATTTTGCATTGGCAAGCGCACATTTTCTTTAGATAATGTTTCTTGCAATCAACCAATCAATCAATCAATAAAAATGTAATTAAACAAGCATAAACCAGGTTTTATAGAGGTTTACAGCAATGTTCAGCTGGTCAGGCTGAAAGTCAGACTGGGAAACCATCTTAAACCAGCTTAGACCAGTTTAAACCATCTAAGACCAGAGCCTGGTCAGGCTGGACTTTTGCCTGGTTTTAGAGGTTTTCATCTGGTCAGGCTAGGAGTTCAGCAAAACTGGCCAGGCGAAAACCATCTTAAAACCCTCATCCGTCCCTCGGGTCATTTTGACCCAAAACTCATTTTTAAAGATTTTTGGAAATGCTGGAAAAGCATGGAATTTACGAAAAAACTGCGGATTTTTTAAATTTAATTTTGTCACACTTGAGCATGGAGCACACACAAAAAAATTTGAGTCGATTCGAGGATTCTGTGTGTAATAAAATAAGGTGTAATAAAAAAAGTAACAAAAGTGTCCCTCGCGGGTCATCTTGACCCGGCCATAGAAATGAATGGAATGTCCGAAAAAAAACAGCATATTTTAATTAATTTTATTTTTTTTACTATATAAAATCTGACACAATCCAGAAAAGATGCATACCCAAACAAAGGGCTGAGACTGCAGAATGTCCCCAATACACAAAAAACTCACATACCCACACACACAGGCACACACACACAAACACACACATGGCACACACACTCCCATTGAAACACATTATAGGATTTATGATGTTTCTGCTGGGAAATGTCTGTCATTTTGAAATTTTTTTTTTACTTAACAGTTAAATTTGAGTGATGGTGTGGAGACCAATGAGTTTATATCATATTTATATTTTTAAATGTATCTTTTATATTTATTACATATTTATGAAACTGTATGAATATGCATGTGTTTCAGTTTTTCAGTATTAATTTAATTTAATTAATACATTTTTTTTTTTACAAAATATAGTTTTTTTTATGTTTTGATATATATCTGAAAGCCTTGAGATATATCTGAAAGCTTAATAAAGCCTCTAGTTGTAGTTTTAAAGATTTCACTTGTTTGGCTCATTGAAGAATCTCCATAGGATTCAATAGGCCCCTCTAGTGGCTGTAATCATAAAATGCAATTTTATGTAATTTTTCCCCACCTGATGGCATCAGAGACACTCAGTGACCTAGGTCCTGATGGATCATGATGTTTAAAATATAAATATGCAGAAATTGTCTTTCTAAAAATATGCTAATTTTCATAAAAATATATGCAGAAATTGTCTTTCTTTGTTTTGTTTTTTTGGTGAAAAAAATGTATAAAAATATGCTCATTTTCATAAAAATATCCAGAATTTAATGTGAATAAAATAAAAATCACCCAAAAATAATAAAAAAAAATATTATTTCATGTCATTTTTGGCCTTCGGGCCATTTTGACCCGCGGGGGACACTTTTGTTATAGGTTCGGGAGGGACGGATGAGGGTTAAAACTTGTACTGTGCTGAAAATTCTTTATTTAATTTGCTGTTTCTAGTCAAAAATGACTGGCCTTTCTTGTAAATTTCTTGTAAATCCCTTATAATGCTATATTATTACCTTGGATTCAATCTTTTTGTCAGCTTGTTTTCTTTTAGTTAACATTAGGTTTTGTATTTCTTTTTGGAACTTACTGATCACAGGCATCACTGATCTGAGCTTATGCATCTCAGTTTTTAAGTGAAAAAAGTTCATAAACTGAGATGTATAAACAATCAGCCAGTTTCAAAAAGAAAAACAAAACGTGTGATAATTGATAGAAAACAAGTTGATAAAAAGATTGAACGTATAAGAATAAGACGTATAAGCACATTTTTGTAAGCCGTTTTTGACAAGGAACACCACAAGTGTAAAAAGGAAATAATTTTTTTATTATTATTATTATTTGTTATCACTGTGTAGGAAAGTTTGAGTCCAGTGCAATCTGATTAACTAGCATGAGGATTTTTTTCATGATTTACCACTTTTCTGTCATGATTTACTGTATTTTCCCTCTTTTATTCTCTCTCAGGTTTGAGTTTAGTTGTCGGTCTGGTGTTGTATATCTCCAGTATCAATGATGAAGTGATGAACAGGCCTCGGGAGCCGGAGCAGTTCTTTCACTACCACTACGGCTGGTCGTTTGCCTTTGCTGCCAGCTCCTTCCTGCTCAAAGAGGTCAGTCACAGAGCCCAGCGACTGTTAACACTCGAGCTGACTGCGTGTGTACTCTTATCACAGAGCTCAGTTCATTAATATGCAGCTGTGTTAACAGCTTTCACTGCTGTTAGCTGCTAAACCAATAGGTCTGCCCTCATCAGAATGCATTAATTTTAGCCTAGCTTTTGCTGGGGTGAAGGCTACACATTTCTGTTATGCTGCATATATGCTAATTAAGTTCAGTGCAGCAATTTGTAAATGTCAGCATCTACTGTCTGCAGTAACCTCAACTTATATTCTTATGATATATAATATGCATACAGTAGAGTCCAAAAGTCTGAGATCATACATAAAAAAATCAAAATCTAATTTAAGCCCGGAAATAGACAAAGTTTTAGGATTAAATTAGTACTCTTTCAAACTTCTGCCAATTTTGTGCACTGTCATTCAAAAGTTTGGAGTTGATAAGATTTTGAAATGTTTTTGAAAGAAGTCTCTAATGCTCTTCAAAGCTGGATTTATTTGATCAACAATACTGATCAACAACAAAATAATTCATATTGTGAAATGCTATTACAATTTAAAATAACAGTTTTCTATTTTAATATATTTTCTATTTTAAGAGATTAAATGTAATTTATTCCTGTGATGGTAAAGCTGGATTTTTTAGCACCCATTACTTTTTTAGGATTCTTTGTTAAATATGAAGTGCAAAAAAAAAAAAGCGTTTATATGAAAAAAAAAAGCGTTTTATAACATAATTTATTCTATCAAACTACACAAATACATTACTTTTGAATAGCTGTCAATGCAAAAATATGCTTTTTGTCCCCAGATGGTGTAGTTACAGCTAACTGGGTCATGCTAACCAGCCAAACTTGACCCCTTGGGCAGAGAGAATTTCTAATTGGCTAGTTTTTGGGAAAAAAAAACACAAGCTCAACCCCTGACACGTTTTTGGATTTTTTTGCATAGGAATGTCAAAGAGAAAAGAGAAAGGTGTGATTTCTCAGAACATCTATTTGCAGTCATATCTGTTAGGTTGTAGGAACATTAGGGTTCCTGTTAGGTTCTGTTACACTGTAGGAACATTTTATCTGTGATATAAAAAAAAAAAGACACTTGATTTTGAATTTAAAGAGATAATTCACTCAAAAATGAAAATAATGTCATTAATTACTCACCCTCATGTCGTTCCAAACCTGTAAGGCCTTTGTTCATCTTCAGAACACAAATTAAGATATTCTTGATAAAATCCATGACCCTGCATGCGTCATGGTACTGTCGTGAACGCACGTCGAAGTCTGACACGGAAGAGAAGAACTGTTGAATACAAAAAGTATTCTCGTAGCTTCATACCATTACAGTACATTACACTGATGTCACATGGACTATTTTAACAATGTCCTTACTACCTTTCTGGGCCTTGAACATGGTATTTCCCTTGCTGTCTATGGAGGGTCAGAGAGCTCTCGGATTTCATCAAAAATATCTTAATTTGTGTTCTGAAGATGACATGAGGGTGAGTAATTAATGACAGAATTTTCATTTATGGGTGAACTAACCCTGTAAACTGAATAATGTTGGTTGACTAGTTTTGTTGTATCAGGGTGCTGGAGTCATGTCTGTCTATCTCTTCATGAAACGTTATGCTGAGGAAGAGATGTACCGGCCCCACCCTGCGCTGTATCGCCCTCGCCTGTCTGAATGCAGCGACTACAGCGGCCAGTACCTGCACCCCGACTCCTGGCCTCCTCCTCAGCGTGGACGCAGCGGCTCCGAGGTGTCCAGCGACATCTCCATTCAGCTCAACCAGACCCCACTGCCTCCTCTGCCAAAAAGCGGCGGGCCCTCCAATCCACGCTCTTCCTCGGGCCCCTCGTCCGGGGCCAGCTATCACCTCCCACCTGCTTCCTCCTCCTCTTCCTCTTCCTATCCTCACACCATCCACTCCTCCCATTCCGTCGGCCATGCCCCTCAGTCCCTCCCAATGGCCACGCCCCCATCTGCAGTCCTGCCCCCTCGCTACCATGCGCATATGCGTATGAGCGCCTCCCCTTGTTAGATTTCCTCCGTTTAAGATACTTAAACAACTGAAATATGGGCATAACATTAGACAAGAGGATAAATCTCCAGAGACTATGGGATCAAAAGGGTGCAAAGTTGAAAAGAGGTAGACGAGGAAGCGCTTCACTTACAATTCTGTGCCTGAATGAAGTTTAACAGATTCTCAGAGCAAGATTAATAAGTGAAGGAATAGCATTTATACATATAGAAAGAATGTATGGAGAAGAAAGGTACAAAATACTGACTTGCTGAAAATAGTTGAAAACAACTGTATACATATTTAAATTTCTATGTAAAATGTTTAAATCTTATTGCACACCATAACATTTTTCATCCCCTCATACCTCATATATCATGAGCACCATGAGGCTATTTATACCATTTCTTGTTTATACTAAAGCAAAAAGACACGAATGTGCCCTAAAGAGGGTGGATTTCTTTAAATGGTGTCGCAGATTTATTTCAGCGGACAATTTCTGTACACAATGTATCAAGAGCAGTAGTCATCTAGTGTAGTCCAACATATTTACCTACACGTTTTATCATGTGGGCAAAGAAAACTTTAGGTGCAGGGGGTTCGATTTGTCCTTTAATATCAATTTGTAATGTTTTTAGATTTGTACATCAGGGTAGATGTTCTACAAAGCTGGCTGATGTTTCTTTACTGGGATGTTGTACGCTTGGCCCCACGGCCCTCAATATGCCTTGTGTTTTCTTGTGCTCTCATATTCAAAAAAATTATGTTTTAAAAACATTTAGCAGTGGTATAGCACGATACAAAAAGGAAACGTTTGAAAATTTTAAACATATTTACCTTAACCTAGAATGGAGGCTGACTCCTGTATGAATTCACTGTTCAATCATCATCTTAAAATTGCAGCCGTTCTCGTTTATTATTGATATTATTACTACGACTATTAATTGAGTTGTTTATTATACAAAATTTATTGTAAACCTGCGTATGTGTTATAACGGAAGCTGTTGTACATCAGCCCTGCAGTGTTTCAGAGATCATGTTTTAGAGTAATATGGGTTAATGAAAAATAACAGAAATCAACACAAGGGAGAATTTAGAACTAAACAATGTGCTTGAGAGCTCCTATTGTATTGCGCCATCTACTGGTCATGCAGTATTAGTGCATTAAAGCACTGAAGTACCTTGTCTGAACCACAAGTTGTATGAAATCTGTATTCGATTCATTGACTAAAATGAGGCAGATGAGTCAGCACTTCCATATACCTGGTGCCTGCGGATGCTGCATCAATTGAGCAATGCAGTAAAGACAATTTGTACAGTATGATTATTATACCAATAAATCAGTCCCTTTTCCTAATGCATAAACGTCGACCTTTGTAGATAAATATCCCTTAATATATATTAGCTAATAGATATTATTATAACGGCCTGTTATGCCCTTAAGACTAAAATTTTAATGCACAGAAGCTTGAGATATTTTCCAGAGTGTTATAACTGAGAGTTCATTATTGTGTGTAAATATTATGATTATAAATAGTTATGAAATACGAATGGTCATGAAGAACAGGACTGGCTCCTGCTGGATAGTAAAGAAATACATAGTATAACAATTTATATTATAGCCATATTACAAGTGAAATATGCAGAATTGAAGGTATGATTTATGGGAAATGAAAAGAGCAAGAGGAATGATTTTTGAATCCTAATATTTATTCAAGTATTGCTGGTGGTACAAATTTAGTCTGCTTTTAAGTCTGAAATGTGAATATCTGTTTATGTTTCTTGTCTTTTACTAATAATTGCGTTATAATGAGCTTTCTGCTCTTTCAGTTCCAGTTGACATTTGTTGTTGTTGCGCTCTATGCTGAGGGTCTGGCTTATAAATATGTATGTACCATTTTGCATGACTTTTTTTTTTCATCTTCATACCCTTTTCCTCTCAATGTTTTTTTTTTTTTTTTGCTTTTTCCCAGTGGACTGTCCTTTGTCTTGATTTGTCTCTCTCAAAGTCCCATTAAGCTGAAGCTGCCTCACTCATTTGACTTGTCTTTTCCTTACCCTTCATTTCGCTCTCTTCTCTCTCTCAGCCTTCCTGTCTTTACTTTTCTGTTTTCAGTTATCAGTTTTGCATGCCTTTCATTCCATAATGCCAAAGCAATTGTGCCTGACTTAAGATGATGATGACAGTTATTATTATTATTATTATTATTAAAACTGTGGCATTTCTTCTTTGTAATCTGGAATTTGCTTAATAAAAAATTAAGAAACTAAAACAAATTGCACATCAAATGACTCGTGTTTTATGTCCAGTGCATTTCTAATACTTTTCTAATACATTTCTAATGCATTTCTAATATTTACTGCATACTGTATGCTTGTACTTTAATTTGATATTTAAATATAGGACAAAAATACTAGAATGGTTATTACATGATATGCCATCATAAATACAACTTAAGCCTACATTACAGAGAACTGCTTTTTCTGGTTATGCTTTATTTTATCACAGTGTACTTATACAGGTGCATCTCAATAAATTAGAATGTCGTGGAAAAGTTCATTTATTTCTGTAATTCAACTCAAATTGAATTATAACTCGTGTATAAAATAAATCCAATGCACACAGACTGAAGTCTTTAATCGATTTTGCTTGACAATCCTCATACGGCTGCGGTTCTCTCGGTTGGTTGTGCATTTTTTTCTTCCACACTTTTTCCTTCCACTCAACTTTCTGTTAACATGCTTGGATACAGCACTATGTGAACAGCCAGCTTCTTTGGCAATGAATGTTTGTGGCTTACCCTCCTTGTGAAGGGTGTCAATGATTGTCTTCTGGACAACTGTCAGATCAGCAGTCTTCCCCATGATTGTGTAGTCCAGTGAACCAAACTGAGAGACCATTTTGAAGGCTCGGGAAACCTTTGCAGGTGTTTTGAGTTGATTAGCTGATTGGCATGTCACCATATTCTAATTTGTTGAGATAGTGAATTGATGGGTTTTTGTTAAATGTGAGCCAAAATCATCACAATTAAAAGAACCAAAGACTTAAACTACTTCAGTCTGTGTGCATTTAATTTATTTAATACACGAGTTTCACAATTTGAGTTGAATTACTGAAATAAATGAACTTTTCCACGACATTCTAATTTATTGAGATGCACCTGTACATTGAAGTACTGAGCAATATTAATTAACTACTTTTACTTACTATATGGTTAGGGTTTAAATGAGGGTTTAGGCCGGGTTAGTTGTATGTCATTATGCATAATTTATTGTTATTACTATGTACATGTAGCATAACATAAATAAGAAGTTTTTTGTGCAGGCAGTGAAAACTGCTATATATTTTTTCTTCTTTAAAATAAGGATGTGTAAAAACAAGTCTAGATCACATTTTACCCCAAAATAATAATAATACCACCCCAATGGGAAAAAAACTAGACTAAATTTTGCTTAAAGCCATTTAAGACCTATTTTAAGATCATTAAAATTAATTTTTTCCATAATGACATTATTTTCAAATTATTTGACTATTTACAAAAAGACAATGACAGTACGTGAAATAATTTACAATTTAAGTAGAATCTAAATCATTTTATTTTTAGTGGCAGTAATGAGAATGAGGGGTTGCTTAATTGGGATGAAAACAATGTCATAATTAATAACAAAAAATAATAAATAAGCTTATTTTATTAAAGCAAACACATTTCACATTTCTTTCTTTTGATTTCAGGGTGAAATATGACCAAGACATGTTTCATGACATTCAGTCTGCTAGTTTTTTGAGGTTTTAACTTGACAGTTTAATAAAAAAAAAACAATTGAAAAATAGGTAAGAGTCTAAATTTGTCTGTGTTGAAGAGTTTGTGTTGTTAATCATTGTAGTTTATTTAATGATAACATGGTGAACGTCAACGTTTTTTTTCACATTTCGGATTTCCTTGCATGCCATTATATTGACAAGTACATGTTCTCATTCAAATCATTCTCATCTTGCTCTATATTCCTTATGCAGGTCAATGCACTTTTACTGCATATCAGAGAGACATTTCTTAATATTCTCAGTAGTTTAAAAACACCCTAGAAAGAGGCCAGTGCCAGCTGGTTTTATTAATGAAATGTTGCCTGTGGGTGATGAAAGTATCTCTTTTAAGCTTTTGACAAAACCACAGTTGATATATCTGTTTAATCAGATGACAATGTAAGCATGTCTGTGGGGCAGGAATTACGGGGCGAATGAGTGACTGGGTGACACGCTTGTGGAGAAATGAGTAAATGGTGGAGGAGTGTGAGTTTACGGGTCAGTGCATCAGCAATAAGCACTTGCTAATGTTTGAGCCACGTGCTTTAGATCCAGTATCGACTTCATGCATAAAATTCCATTGAGTCCTTCTTTCTCATGTCTAACTTTGATAGAATGGCTTTGAAAGACCTTGGGAAATAATCTTGAGGCATTATTTACTCTCAATGCATGATGTTTGTGAGGAAAGGCATGGCTCCCTGTTGGTTAAAGGTGCGATTGCATTATTGCTGCAACAGCATCCATTGAATCTGAGGAATTGCTTTCATGGCAAAAATACCCTAGTGACAGAATAAACACCCACGTGAATAAGGAACCACAGTCTCTAATACATGCACCTCTCAGTGTGTTCAGACCACAGGGATGTTTGAAGCACTACATAACTGAGTGCTGATAATCAGCGCTTCTTCTCTACCTGAAGATGTGTGGGCGAACAGTGGTTGGTGTGTCTCTTTCTCTCCCTTTTTTCCTCTCTCAGAGGAAAAAAACACTGAGGAACATGTGAGCAAATGAACACATGAAGCTGCATATCTTCAGCGTTTGCCAAGGCATAAAAATAAATACATCACACGGCGTACTAGATTAAATAGTCACACCAGCCTGCTGAAGTCCTTACAATTTTACAGTGGATCAAAGTGCTGCTTTGCA